GGCTGGGCTGAAACATCCAACAGTAAGAACCAGTTTGTGTTGAAGGCCAGTCAGAAAAAGCCACTGTTCCTGCTAGGACAGGAGGTGGACTGAGTAGTGCTAGCCCATGGACCCCTGGTATGTGTAAAATCTGGCACTGGGAGAGGTTCTGATGGAGAAGCCTGAGCAACTCCTCTGGCAGGACACAGACCCGGCAGGTAAGCGCAAGAAACATGATAAGAAACAGCCCAGAACAGGCCATGGAAAGTTTCCCACTGGCATACATTTGGCATGGGTCAGGAGCAGACCAGGCTGAATCAGTTCATGTCATCCACTGGCAAATCCAAGCACCAGAACAGTGTGGGTCGAGCCAGGTTCGGTCGCAACAAAAACCAGTGCACAATACGGAATGCCAAGGTGAGGTTGCCAGTACCTTTATGTGACCGCAGCACCCAACCAGCATGCGTGAGAACCAGGAATGGAGGGGGTGGAGCTGGCAGGGGGAATATGGAAGGGTTCCCTTGCTGGATAGCTACTCCCACGGGAGAGCATGAGCTGGGATGGGGGCAAACCAGACTAAGCAGGGCTATAACACCTGTGTGCCTCAGGTGGACTAGATCAGGGAAAAGCCAGGCAGAGCTGATTATTCCTACTGGTGCAAACAAAACTAGAGTGGGTGAGGGTTGTTTGGGCTTAGTCACAGCATCAGCTGGCAGAAGCGGGCACTGGGGTCTAATTCTGTCAAGTCAAACCAAAGAACTACCTGGAGAGTGCATAATCCGGGAGTGGGAGAGGTCTGGGAGGGAAATAGTGGGCTCCTTCCTTTTCGGTTACCACTCCCATGGGAGGGCACGAAAACTAGGACAGGGGCTGGGGTGGCTAGACAGACACCCAACAGCATCTGTGTGGGCTGCATAGTGGAGCTGGTTAGATGGAACTAAGCTTTAATACCCATTGACATGTACAAGAGCCGAATGGGTGCTACACATACTGGTAAACCAGGGTAGGGGACGGGCCTGGTGGGGGTTATTGTGGGTTGCTCCAACTAGGCTGCAGCTCCCACTTGTTTATGCGAGGGCCGAGAATGTGCTGGGCAGAGCCAGGCTGGACTGCAACACCCATTGGTTCCAGTGGAAGTCGGGGCTGAAAACAGAATCAACCCAGCGATAGCAACCACCAGCTGATCAGGGCCATGGACTGAGCTGGGCCCTGTATCTGCTAGTACATACAAGAATCTGGTCTGAGAACACCTCAAAGTTTCTTCGGAGATTTCCCCGATCGAAATGCTGGACTCAGAACCCTAACCAAGAAAAGACAGGAAACAGAACAGGTCAATCAACCATCTCAGCTGTATGTTGGCAGCAAAATATTGGGCAAACGGAGACTCTATGAAGGACCTTGTTAGTGAATTCTTCAAAGACCTCATCATGCGTGGAGTGGCAAGATTGGCAGCGATTCATAACTGGTGAACCATCAAAACCACTTGAGCAAGTACCTCAGAGCATGCCCTAAATCCGGGTCCTGGGGTGGGTGGGAAATTCGGTGGGCCTTTTCCCTTAATACCCCCCTTTAAACATGAAGGAAACAATATAGAAATAATAGTCTTACCCATTTTCCTATAGCCCTTGAACCTTTTTACCCTAATTAACTATGTAAATATTGTAAAAAATATAATAAAAAAAATAAATAAAAACACTTTTAAAAAATAAAATAAAAATACTTTTAACAAGAGTCAGCACTGTGGCATGGTAGGCTAAGCTTCTGCCTGTGATACCAGCATCCCATATGGGTGTCAGTTCAAGTCTTGGCTGTTCCACTTCTGATCCAACTCTGTTTTATGTCCTGGGAAACAGCTTAAGATATCTCAAATCTTTGGGTTCTTGCACCCACCATGGCAGACAGGAATACGCTCCTGGCTCCTGGCTTTATTTATTTAGAAAGTAAGGCAACAGATGGAAGATTACTCTTTTCTTCTTCTCTCTCTAATTCTGCCTTCCAAATAAAAACTTTTTAAAAAGTTTTTAAAAATTACTTTTAATAAGCATATGCCATGTCGCAAGAACTGTGGCTATCACATGTAAATCTTTCAAGAAGCTTACGATTGGAAAGGAATAAGAAAAAAAAACCTAGATACAAACTGGCAAATCTGCATCAGAGGTATGCATACGATATTAAAAACTTGGAAGAAGAATTTTAAACTTTGAAAGGGACCACTATGTGAAAACAGGTTAAGCTGCCACCTGTGACATTAATATGCCTAATGGAGGATGATTTGGGTTACTCCACTTTCCATCTAACTAATGCTCCTAAGAAAGCAGCAGATGATGGCACATACAGCTGGGAACCTGCCACTCCTGTAGAAGACCAGGATGGAGTTCCAGGCTCCTGACTTCAGCCTGGCCCAGTCATGGCCATTGCAGCCATTTGAGAAATGAAACGATGGATAGAAGCTTGCTCGCTCTCTCTCCTCGCTCTTTTTCTTACCCCCTCTCTTTTTCCCTCTCAAATAAATAATTTATTTTAAGTAAATTAAATTTAAAATCATTTTAAGTCTGTCAGAGTAATCTCTAGTTTAGTAAATCTAATGGGCAATTTCCAGTTACCAATATATTTGGTCACATCCTCCCCTTAAAAAGCAAGTAAGATAAACAAAAGCAAATCAAAACACACAAACAAACCAAAATCCTTCTTTGTTGAGACTCAGATTCTATAAGAATCTTAAATTGTTTTTCTTTTCTTCTGAGCATTCCCTTTCAGTCACCTTTTCTGATGCCTCCTTCTCTATTTGGCCTTAAAAGTTGAAGATTCGGGCCCAGCACAGTGCCCTAGCGGCTAAAGTCCTCGGCCTAAATGCGCCAGGATCCCATATGGGCACCAGTTCTAATCCTGGCGACCCCACTTCCCATCCAGCTCCCTCCTGTGGCCTGGAAAAGCAGTCAAGGACAACCCAAAGACTTAGGACCCTGCACCTGTGAGAGAGACCTGGAAGAAGCTCCTGGCTTTGGATCGGCACAGCACCAGCCGTTGTGGTCACTTGGGGAGTGAACCATCAGATGGAAGATCTTCCTCTCTGTCTCTCCTCCTCTCTTCTCTGTGTATTTTACTTTGCAATAAAAATAAAATAAATCTTAAAAAAAATAAAAGTTGAAGATTCTCAGCCCCAGCATGATGGTTCAGTGGTAAATCCTCAAATTGCATGTGCCGGGAACCCATATGGGTGCTGGTTCATGTCCCAGCTACTCCACTTCCATTCCAACTCCCTGCTTGTGGCCTGAGAAAGCAGGAGGACCCTGCACCAGCATGGGAGATCCAGAAAACTCTCTTGGCTCCTGGCTTTGAATCCATTGAGCTCCAGCCGTTGCAGTCACTTGAGGAGTGAACCAGCAGACAGAATGTTTTTTTCTGTACCTCCTTCCCTCTGTAAAATCTGCCTTTCCAATAAAAATAAATAAATCTTAAAAAAAAAAAAAAAAAAAAACAGAGATTCTCAAGGCTTGGCTTTTCTTCCCCCTTACTTAGCCTCTTTTTTCTTGCTGTACTGTCCATTTCTCATGTTTCTTATTTCATTATTTCCATGGCTACTTACCAACAGCCTCATATGTGCATCCCTATTTAGGCTTTCCCTGGAAACATCAGACTCATTGATCCATCTGGAATGGATGTCTCAAAGGCATCTTAAACTTGGAATGAGTAAGTCTCAGTTTATAGGCATCTCTACCAAACTGGTCTCATTCCAGGATCCCTCAATCATCTCAGTGTTTTGTATCTTTATCCATCTAGCTACTTCATCTGAGCCAGAAACCCTGAAATCATCCCTGATATTTCTTTTTTTCCTTTATACCTAAAATTCAAGTATCACCAAATTCCAATGGCTTTATCTGCAATCAGTTCTTACTGCAGCCACAGTGGAATTATTAAAACACAACTGATTATATCACTGCTGTGCTAAGAGTCATGCAATGCCATGCCCTGTTCTTTGGGTAAAATCCTTCTATATGTGATACAGTCCCTGCCTACTTCTCCAGCTTCATCTGCTATCATTCTCTCCATCATCACTCTAACCCTCCTTTGGATTCTATAACTTTCACCTTGGTCTTCCAATTGCTAATCTCCTCCACTTGAAAGATACTCTCTTTTTAGCTCCTTTTGTCTTTACCCAGTTTACTTCTTTTCAGCATCTGAATGACAGCTCTAAAAGCCCAGTCCTCAACAAGACCTTCCTCGAGCCCCTAGAACATACTATGTCCTCATGTTGTGCTTTCACAGCCTTTCCATATCCACCATTAGTGTTTAAATATTTATCTGTGAGACTATTTTACCAGTGCTTTACATTTACACGCTCCAAGACAACAAGGAAATCTTTATTTGGTCACCACTGCATTCTCAGCACTTGGATCCTGGAACACTACTCAATAAAATACTTCTGAATAAACAGGTAACTAGGCAACAGTATTTCAGATAACCAAGAATAATGAGACAATATGATGACTAAGTGAAAATAATGGATAGCTTCAGAAATTTTTAGGTAAAGAGCCTTAACTAAGTTGAAAGCAGAACATAGATTTTCGAGGCAAGCAAACTGAAATCTCAACTCGCCTATTTTCTAGATGCTGTGTGCTCATCCCTCACAACCTGTTTCCTCACCCATAAGATGAAGAGGACAAAACAGGGAGCAAAAAACATGAATCACCTGGTGTAACACCATTGATAGCACGTACTTAATTTTGTGGATTCCCAGCCCTCTCTTCTCTGATCACCTCTAGATATAAAACAGTGCTGACCATAGCAGAAATAACTAGTTCAGATTTTTCTTTAGGAAAACCAACAAAGCCTGGATTTAGAAAAGATAAATGAGGGTGAATACAGGTCTTACAAAATATAAGCCACACAAAACAACACACTTGCACTGGTGCTTAAAACACAATTCTATTTGCAGAGAGCTTTTCAGGATTATATCTAACAGATACTACAAGACACATCTGTGCCAAATAAAGCTCACAACATTAGGAAAGTCCTCTTACCTTATGTTCAAATGGAGCACCATAGTAGCCATCATTCAGCCCAAAAATTATCTCATTTTGGTTGCGGGCATGAATCTAAAAAAGGTAGAAAACATACTATCAGTGCCTGTCATTCCAATCATATGTTGATCTGATTAAAGTACAAGTTACTTCACTGCTGAGGAACAGGCCGGTTTCATCTTAAACAAACTAGCAGAAAAATCTCTTAGCCGAGAGCAACCCAAATACGGATGACATTCTTCACAGGATCAGAAAAAAAAAATCTTAAAATTCATATGCATATAGCAAAGACCAAAGACCCTTAAGACAAAGAAAAAAGAGAATAAAGCTGGAAGCATCACGCTGTCAGGTTTTCAGACATTCTATATAACAAAAACAGCACAGTACTGGCACAGAATAGACACACAGACCAACAGATCAAAATAAAAACTGTAGAAATGAATTCATGTATCAACAACCACATTACCTTTGACAAAGAAGCTAACAACATAACCTAGAGACAGGACAATCTCGTCAATAAATGATGCTGGGAAAACTGGGTATTCAAATGCAAAAGACTGAATCCATACTGCTCCCCAGACCCCTATTCCTCACACTAAACAGAATCAACGCAAAGTGGATCAATGAAAGGGACACAGCAGCTTCCTGGCCCAATTTCTAAACCCCCATGCCCAATATATGCTACTCATCTGTGAAGGGTCTCGTGCCTGAAGGCTTGATAGGCAAGCTGCTGTGAGCAGAAGGTATTCAGGAAAATCCAGGTAAGCTTCTTCAGCAGTATCACAGTTTTCTTCTAAGATTGATTTACATTTAGATCTTTGATCCATTTTGCTGCTGGGGGTGAGGAGAGGTGTTGTGTGAACTCCAAAGCTTACAGAGCAGTGCCAAGTGAAGGTTTGATTTGGACTGGGCAGCGGGAAGACTATAGTCTTGCCCTGCTGTGGAGATCATAATAATCCAAGAGTATTTTTCCAGGGGCCTGGGATGATGGCTCAATAACACTGCTTTGGACATTGATCTCCCAGTTTGGAAAGTTGCCAGCAATCCTAGCCCCAAACTTACAAAAGGAATTCCAGTCTCATCCCATTGGTTCTGTTGTAGAATCCAAAAGCCCACCCATTTTCTAAGTAATTAAGAGACCATCAATGGGGAACTTACCTGTAGGTTCCCCGCCCTACAAGGAGGGGTCAGGGAAGGCTTAAAATCCCAAGACCCTTCCTCAAACCTTTGGTGTCTCTCTCCCTCATCTTTCAAGAGGCACCCCACCTCCAGGCTTCCTTTCCAGAGGTGCTTCCCCTTCCCTCTCCCTTCCCGGCTCACCCGGTCCCTTTGCAAATAAACTTTTCTGTCTGCAAAAAAAAAAAAAAAAAAAAAAAAAATCCAAAAGCCTGGGCTGGACATTGGGGTAGTAGTAGAAGTAGGAGGTAGGAGGTGGGAATCCAACACAGCCATTCTCTACCTGGAACTCCCTTAATGAAGTGAGTAGATCTGCTTCAGGGACCAGAACCTGAGGATGGTGGGTGGTCTGGCCTCAGCACACAGGTTTTGTGATTAGAGCACCTAGGATGCTAACTCCTGTCCACCAAAGCAACATCTCAGAGCAACGATGACAATGTGGGGCCACTGAGCTGAGCTGAAGTTTTCCAGCTCCAGAGGGAATTCTGAACCGAAGATAGGCAAGCCCTATGTCCCTAATCAGCAAAAAGTAACTACAGAAAATAGGATAAATCTGTATGTACCTTGCAGCAACCCTTAAAGTCAAAAGTCTCTGAGAGGGGATGAAACAGGACAGATAGCCAGCTTAGAGTTACAAGCTGAAAGCCACACTCCTCTTGCTCTTTATAAATCCCACCTGCCTTGATTTTATCAGTCAATGACCCTTCCTCTAGGATCTACACCCCTCAATAGGGATCTGTGACATTGTTATGAAACCATTCTCCTTCCCATATGAAGACTGGCAACATGGAGGGGCGATCTCTCTCTTCCTGTGTACATAAAAAGAAAGGGCAGAAACATTTCCCCCTCTGTCACTACTCCCTTCAAATTCTCCACCACCAAACTTGCCCCACATGTACCTGTGATCACCTCATCTTTTAAATAAACTTTTAAAAAAATTACAATAGGCTCAGCACGGGAGCCTAATAGCTAAAATCCTCGCTTGTATGTGCCAGGATCCCATATGAGCGCCGGTTCTAAAATCCTGGTGGCCCCACTTCCCATCCAGATCCCTGCTTGTGGCCTGGGAAAGCAGTTGAGGACGGCCCAGGGCCTTGGGACCCTGTACCCACATAGGAGACCCGGAAGAAGCTTCTGGCTTTGGATCAGCTCAGTACCAGTCATTGCAGTCACCTGGGGAGTGAATCAGCAGACGGAAGATCTTCCTCTCTGTATATCTGACTTTCCAATAAAAATAAATATATCTTTCTTTAAAATTACAAAAAAAACAAAAAAAAGGTTGGGGGGAGGAGCTGTAGTAGTGGCATAGCAAGCTAAATCCTCCACCTGTAATGGCAGCTTCCCATAAGGGAACTGCTTTGAGTCTAGACAGTCCATTCCCTTTTAGCTCCCTGCTAACAGCCTGGGAAAACACGTGAGAGATATGGAAGAAGTTCCTGGCTCACAGCTGTGGACCAGCCCAGCTCTGGCCATTGAAGCAATTTAAGGAGTAAACTAGTGGACTGAAGAACTCTATGTCCGTCTGTCTGTCTCTCTTTCTCTCTTTCTGTAACTCTGACTTTGAAATGAAATTTGAAAGTCTTTACAAAGTGGGGAAAGCACTCCAGCATGATGGCTCAAATGACTAATCCTCTGCCTGCAAACACCAGCATCCTGTATGGTGCCAGTTCATGTGCCAGCTGCTCCACTTCCAATACAAGGCCCTATTTATGGCCTGGGAAAGCAGTGGAAGATGGCCCAAAGCCTGGGGACCCTGCACCCACGTGGGAGACCCTGAAGAAGCTGCTGGCCAGCTCTGGCTGTTACAGCCATTTAGGGAGTGAATGAATGGAGAAAGGTATCTCTCTCTGTCTCTTCCAACCCCACCTTTCTGTAATTCTGCAATTAAAATAAATCTGGGGTCTGGCACCATGGCTGAACAGGCTAATCCTCCACCCTGTGATACCAGGCTAATTCTCCACCCACTTCTGATCCAGATCTCTACTGAGAATATCTCAAGTGCTAGGGTCCCAGCAGCAGATCTGTCTCTCCTTCTCTCTGCCAATTTGCCTTTCCAATAAAAATACAGGCCAATGTTTAAAAAGAAAGACAAAAAGATAAATGCTAATGGGCATATAGACAAAAGGTAATCCTAATAGACTGTTCATAGGAATACAAAACGAAACACTCAACATGAAGAACAATATGAAGGTTCCTCCAAAAAACTAAAACTGGACATGACCCAGTGGTTTCTCTTCTGGGTACATAGCCAAAGAAATGAAATCAGCATCTGAGATATCCATACTTGAATGTCCATTACAAGGTTATTAGCAACAGCTAAGACATGGAAACATCCTAGGAGTTCATCAATGGATGAATGCATAAAGAAAAGTATGGTATATATTTTTGCAAGGAAATATGATTATGTCATAAAAAATTAAAGGAATGCTGCCATCTACAGTAAAATGGATGGGCCTGCTGATCATTGTGTAAGTCAAGTAAGTCAAATCACACAACGACAAATAAAGTTGCATTTTCTTTCAGATGTGGAATTTCCATCTCTGTGATTTTAAAATACTGACTATTAGAGGCTGGGAAGGGTATGAAGAAGAGAAAATAGAAGGAGGTTGAATAATAGCTAACAAAATACAGCAAGGTAAGCATAATGACTTCTGGTGTTTTGTAGATCAGTGGAACTACATACCCCAAAGTAATGTATTAGTTTATATTCTCCATAAATACTTGGAACCAAGGAAATGATAGTTCCAAACACAAACACAAAGAATTAGAAAGGCTAGTTGCCTGTAATAATTGGTTAATGCCATATCTATGTGCTGAAATAACGACTATACCTCTTGAAAATATACCAGGACTACATATTAATCCAGAATTGTAAAATAAAGGTTTTTTAAAAGTAAAATAAACTTTTTTCTTTATTATCATTATCATTTTATGATACAGTTCCATAGGCTCTGGGATTCCCTTACCCCTCCCCATTCTCTTCCCCACTCCCACTGAGTTCCCTTGCATTATTACAATAGTTTAGTTCTTCATAAACAGTCTTAAGTCCCTCATTGTGGGCATGGACAATGGCAGAGAGTCCAGCATCCTAATGTCAAGATATAGTTAATAGTTTCATTGAAAGTCCATCTTTGATCTGAAAGTAGAGATGCTTATCGCATTGTATCCTCAATCCAGTCTACTAATCTATGATGTTTGATTGAGCTTAAGCAATTTACATTCAGAGTTAAATATACATAGGTGGTACTTTGGTCCCGTCATTTTAGGAATGGGTTGTTCATTGATTTAGTCTTCTGTTGTTATTTTACTGGGATGTTCTTCACATTTGCCTTTGGTTTTGGTAGTTGCTATTCCTTTTTCTGTCAAGAGAACATCTTGAAGTGTCATTTGTAGGGCAGGTCTGGAAGAGGCATATTGTTTTAGCTTTTCTTTACTCTGGAAGAATTTTATTTCACTTTCAAAGACAAAGGAGACCTTTGCTGGGTATGTTATCCTGGGCTGACAATTTTTTCTTTTAGAATCTTGAATAAGTCACTCCATTCTCTTCTGGACTATAGAGTTTCCTGTGAGAGGACTTCTGTGCATTTAATTGGCATTCCTTTATATGTCAATTGATTTTTTTTTCACATGCACATTTAAGGATCTTTTCCTTATGTTCGATTGAAGAGAGCTTGATTATCATGTGTTGTGGTGAAGATCGTTTTTGGTCACCCCGGTTGGGAGTTCTGTGCTCCTCCTGGATGTTGTTTCCCAATCACTTTCTCTAGATGAAGGAAATTTTCCTTTATTATTTCATTAAATGTATTTTTAATCCCAAGTTCTCTTTTTACGCCTTCTAGAAATCCCATAACTCTTGTATTTGGCCTTTTAATAGTGTGTTTCAACTCCTCAATACTTTTTTTAGCTTGACCCAGCTCTGCTTCTAGCTTTTTGATTGTTTTCTCCTGGTGACAGGAAATATCTTCCAATTCTGAGATTCTTCTTCTGCCTCATTGATTCTCTTATGGAGAGTTTCCACTGAATTTTTAATTTGCTCTATTGCGTCCTTCATTTCCAATGATAATTCGGCTGGAATTTGTTTCACTGTTGCTCTTTCCTGTGTGACATCCTCCTTAACTCTTTGAACTCTTTGAATTCCTGTATGTGCCCCTCATTGTTGATCAGAAGCTTTACAATGAGTTTCCTGAATTCTGTATCCCCCATTTTCTCAATGTATTCCTGAGCTAACTCTGAGGTTGGCAAGGGCTTTTGCTCCTTTGCAGTGAAGTCTTCAGTAATATTCATTGTGCCTTTTTGTTCTTGGTCATTATACTTCTGGTTAGCGGATTACTCTTGGGGCAGGTTTCATAGCTGTGTCATCCACAGGTCTACAATTCGATTTTACTTATTGTGGTTGGTACCCAGTTCTATGTTTGTAGTCACTTGTGCTACCCTCTCCAGCAAGCTCCAGATAGGACTCTCATGTTAGACTTCTACCACAGTCTCTGTAGCCACAGCTCCTGGCTCACCACTCTCCACCTCCTGTGACACGGTGCTGAGCCTGCACTGTTGTCTGTACAACCTTTTCCCCAATTCTGTTTTGAGCAGTTTACAGGATTAGGGAAGACATCAGATGTCCTAAATAGCTAGAATGTTGTTGGTTCTGGTCTTCTGGAATCTGTTGGCCATTAGATCTAAGGCCACACGGATCTATTTTCATCATGCTGCATGTGAAGTTCTGGCCACTGGTGCAGTTGAGATCACTGCTTACTGAATGCCACTGGCGTATTTGGTCACTGCAACAGCACACCATTGTATCTGCTGCTTTCGCATGTCCGTTGGTTTTCAGGTGCCCCTCTGCTGTCAGTCTGTCTTCTCATAATTCCTGGAATGTGCCCTCTGCTTCACACTGGCTAATGTTTCTCCATTTACTTAAACATGTCTTTACCCTATTCCATCATCTTGATTCTTCCATAAAATAAATGTATAAAATGAAGATAACAATGAAACTGTCATGAGCTCCGAGGTACCTTTTCACACATATTTTCCCCAAATCGACAAATACTTCATGAGGTTGGAACAGCTAATCGCAAAGACCAGATTATTTAGAGAACTACAATATGTTCTCTGATTCACCCCTCAACAAACACCATCTAGTAAATCTGTAACAGTGCTTTCAACAACATGAAACACTAAAAAAAAAAACAAACTGTCAGTTTAATACCATTTTGCATTGTCAGACCTTTAAAAACAATATTATCTAAACCCTAAAGTCTTAAGTGCCTGCTTAATTGTTGCCTACTTCTCTCTTTCAGATGCAACTGATGTGAGCTTCAGTTAGGAACACCCAAAATAAAACTTCAGCTAAAGATGGGAAGAATAAAATTTTAAAAATTAAAGAGCTGAGATCTGAAATAATTCAACACAGTATTAGGAGCCCAAGCATGAAATATAAAAATAGATTTCGTTCCTTCAAAAAGAGTTGTGGCTATTGAAAAAAAAATGCTTTGGTTATGAGGGATTAAAATGAGACTCCAAAACACAAAAAAGAAAGCAGGGATTACCAAGACACAATACTTGTCTTCTTCTTTCTCTAATCCAGGGAGCAGTCACCAAAGCGAGCAACAGAATACTCCTGGGAACATTTTTTACCAGCTTTCCATATCTCCTACCTCTTATTACAAAAACAAAATAAATCCCACACATTCAGTTTATCTACATCATTTTTACTACCAAAAGATAAGACCGGAATTATAAATTTATTATGAAAACAATAAATCAACATCCAGAAGTTCTTCAACTTTTAACAAAGAAAGTGAAAGCATTATAAAATTGGTTTCAAGATTAGATGGGATATGAAATTTTATAAAATATTATATACACATATATATTCAGGAGAAGAAAAAAAAATTATTCACCAAAATGTTAACAATGGTTGTAGCTGGATAGAAATCACATGTAATTTTTTGTTCTTTTATATATGCATACTAATAACAATAATTGTAAGGATTTTGCAACATTTTTAGTGTCTTCTTTATGCTGATCTGTGTTAAAGATTTTGTATAATTTTTAGTCTTTTCTCTGTGCTGACCAAAATTTCCCAAAGTGAACACAAAAGATGCATGGTACTTTTTTTTAAAAGGTTAGAAGATTTTCTTTTGAACTATTACTTTTGTTTTTTATTTGAAAGGCAGAGACCAAAAAAAAAAAAAAAAAGACACTGACAAAGAAATAAACTTTCCCTCTGCTGGTTCACTCCCCAGTGCTGGCAAGAGTCAGATACAGCCACATTAAAGCCAGGAGTCTGGAATTCCATTTAGGTCTCTCTTGAGTTCAAGTACTTTAGTCATATCCTGTGTGGCTTAGAGAATGCATTATCAAAAAGCTGAGATTGGAAGTGGACCCAGGACTTGAATCCAAACACTCTGACATAGTAAGCAGGCATTCCTAATAGTGTCTAAATTGTTGTTAAACATCTGCCCAGAACATGTGCTACCTTTAAAGTCGGGAAAAAAAATACACATTCACACACACACACACATCCCTGCTTTTCAAATAGTTTCTTTTCACACTAACAAGTATATATTGAATAAATATCAAGAAAACATAATGGATGTGACTAACATTTTAAAGTTCATTTAATAGTAATAGCATCACAAAACAGAAAGAGCATTTGCACCATACTGAGGTATATCTTTATACCCCACGTGTGTGTGTGTGTGTGTGTGTGTGTGTGTGTGTGTGTGTGTGTGTGTCTGTGTGTGCTGATGTCATACAACACAAACTCTATCTGGTACTAATTAATGAATTTCTTAAACTTTCTAAAACTCAACTGCCTCATCTGGAAAATAAAAATAATTTCACACTTCAAAACTTGCTCTAAATGTTAACTCTAATAACCTATGTCTGGGAATGGCAAGTAGCTCTCATTTCAAAAGCAACTCTAGTTGCCAGCTGTATACTGCAATATTGTGTTAGGGTTATGGAGCTACTTTTGAGCTCAACTATGAGAATGCTGTAATTGATTACCTTTATCAGCAGAGAAGAAGACCAATTCATCACTCTGTGCTCAGTAAACAGTGACTCTTCATATTCCTGCAATAACTCAACTATATTGGTCAAAAGACAGGTGTTTAGGAGCTGACACTGCGGCACAGAGTCTAGCAGCAGTTTGGGATGCCAGCATCCCACATCAGAGTGCTGGCTTATTCAAGCTCCAGCTGCCCTGTTGCTTCCAATCCAGCTTCCTGCCAATGCACATAGCAAGACCAGGGAAGGTGGCGTAAGCACCTGGACTCCTGCCATCCACACTGGAGATGGAGTTTCTGGCCCAGTCCCAGCTGTTGCAGCCATTTGAGGAGTAAATCAGCACTTGGAAGTTTTCTCCCTTCCTCCCTCTGCCTTTCAAACAAACATTTTTAAAAGAGAAAGAGCATATTCCTTACTTCAACTTGATTTTCATATTCTAGGACTGAACATCCCATTAGAAAGGACAGAATGAAGTGAGAAAGCTAATCCTTTCCTATACAGTTCTCTTAAGTGAGCAGCATAGGGTGCTTCTTTGTAAATTCGTCCAAAATTTGTTTAAATCAGGCAATGACTCAAGCATAACAATGTGAGTTAGTAACGTTACATAAATAAATAATTATGTAAATAACTAACATGAAGTCACTCTTAGGGAAATATAAAGATTGAAGAATCAGTGTAACAATTAAGTTAGTTTTGAGATGGCAACTACTTGAAACCAGAGTCTAAAAGTTACCTGCTGACCCAAGTATTTCAGCCCATCCAAATAGACCTTCCATTCAATCAACAGCTGATAGACATCCTCCTTGCCACCCCATATCTTCACCACAAAGCAAGACACAGATGTATCAAGACGGTCTGGCATTATTCCAAAATCTAGGCTCCGCCACGTTGGATTCTGTTGATGAAATGGAAGACATGCTTTAGAAAGACTCTAATTTGTTTACAATTATTTCAATTACTTGGTGAGTCACTTAAAAAAGAAAAAGCCAAGACCTCATGAATATGTTAAACTGCAAACTTAAATAAAACAAGAAGACGTGCCAATTAACACAAAGGGATGATAATGATACTTGCTCTGCTTACTTATTATAGTCATTAGAGGGAGCATGTATTCCCATCTCTCACTGGCACAGCTCATGTGGGAATTCATTCAATGCTTAACACAAGATTACTAAGAGGCAAAATATAAACAATTCCCCCAAAGAGCTGCCAGTGTAGGCTAGATTCAGATCACTATTTAAACAATCACACTGTTTCACAAAATGTCCAAGATTATTATACAAAACTTACATAGTAGCATGGAAAGTAATAGGGCAAAGGATGTAAAACTTGGCTTTTAGAGTATAATTTCACCTGATAAAACAAGCAATTTCAGTCAAAAGAAACAGATACACAAAAATTCAGAGGTATAGATGGCATGGTTATGGTCAGGAAAGTAAGAACAGTTGCTGGAGCACACAGTACGAAACACACAACTGGAGAATGAAATACAAACTAAACTGATGGATCTTCTATGCTTTGCCAGGAGGCAGCACCTGGTACAAGCTTGGAGCACTCTGAAAGATTTTTTAAGTTAAAAATGGGGTCAACAGTTTCTCTCTTTCTCTCTCTCTCTCCCTCTGTCTCTCTTTCTCTCTCTCTCTCTCTCCTTTTAGGAGACACCCCAATTCCCTGATCATTCCTGGGAGGTATACTATAGTAATTTCATTTAGGCATCAATTTATATTAGATTTGTATAATAACTAAATTTCTACCATCCAAGAATTGCAACCTAGGTTCAACAAAATTCTATTCTTATTTGATCCTCCTAAATAACATCCTTGATAAATAGGAAAGCTTCATTTAATCATGACGAAAACAATGTCTAAAAATAAACATACAAGAAATGTTAAAGTAAATCCTTCAGGCTGAAGGGGAACCCTGGGTCAATGAGGAGTGAGGGTACTGGTAATGTACTCAGCAGACAGAAAAGGCTATGTGGCCCAAGGAGTGAATGAAAGGCATTCACTGCCTGCATTTCTGATGCAGGCAGACTGGACGTCTGGCTACTCAACTGTCCCAGGAGAACAAACAACTAAAATTGCTGGCTGAACCTCTTTTTAAAATAGAAATAATCACCATCATTACCAAAGTATTTGCAAGCTAGCAAGGAAAGAATCCAGGATAAGTGGAAATGTAGAGGGATTTTGTCACAAAGCACAAAACAAATAGATGTATACAAACCTAGGACTCCCCTTTGGCTCTTAAAGGGAGATGAGGCTCAGACCCAGACCTCATCCAGGTCTGAAAGAAGCTTACATTGAGCTGGAACCATAACAAGACTCTACAACCACACTGAGCATGAGTGAAATGGAACTAAATTCACCCAAACCATATCCTATAAGTGCCTTCCATGGGCCAGGCTGCCAAGAGGAAGGTTCCTCAGAAGAACAAAATACACAGAATGCAGCACAGAGGCTAATGAAGCAAAATACGGAAAGGGAGGTTTAAAAACAGGCACACCAGAGAGAAAAGATCCGATCCGCAATTAATAAGCAGTCCCAAGCAAGAGAAGATAGATCAAGGAGAAAGGCTATATTTGGATAGAGAGAGTAACAATTCCCTAGACAGATTCTAAGAAACACCAATTCTAATTCACCAGTTCAAAAACACCCAATAGACCACAATCAAAATCAATGAAAGTAAAAGCCAGTCAGGACACATAAAAGTGAAATTATAATACATCAAAGCAAAAGGATGGAGCTGCCTGAGAAGCCCTTGAAGAGAATCGCAGACCAACCACTCACTTCTCAACAGTCAAAGTGGGCAGCCAAAAGGAAGTGGAATTTTATTTTTGCTGCCTTGACAAAAATTAGATGACAATCTAAAACTCCATATCCAGTGAAAATATTCTTTCTGAATCAGAGTAAACTAAATACATTTTTGGGACAGGACAAGAGAACATCTGAGTATGACCCCCAACGTATGATCATCAAAGTAAGTTTTTTTTTTTTCTTTTAATTTTCATTGGAAAGTCAGATATACAGAGAGAAGAGACAGAGAGGAAGATCTTCTGTCTTCTGATTCACTCCTCAAGTGATTGCACCAGCTGGAGCTGAGCTGATCCAAAGCCAGGAGCACATGGAAAGTGAACCAGGGGACTGAACACTTCTTTGCAAGAAATGTGGATAGCACAAAAATATTAATATGAGACAAAAATCTCAGGGTGGAAATGGGGGGGGGGGGGCCAGAAGGAGATTTTTGATTGGGCACACTGAGCAGTTCAGCAAGTATTTCTTCAAAACAGCAAAAATGAGCCCAGCACAGTAGCCTAGCAGTTAAAATCCCTCGCCTTGCATGTGCCAGGATCCCATATGGGTGCTGGTTCGATCCCAGTAGCCCCACTTCCCATACAGCTCCCTGCTTGTTGCCTGAAAAAGCAGTTAAGGACGGCCCAAAGCCTTGGAGCCCTGCACTTGCCCAGGAGTCCCAGAAGAAGCTTCTGGCACCTGGCTTTGGATCGGCTGAGCTCTAGCCGGTGCAATCACTTGGGGAGTGCATCAGCAGACAGAAGATCTTCCTCTCTGTCTCTCCTCTTTGTATATCTGATCTTCTAATAAAAAATAAATAAATCTTTTTAAAAAATTAATAGTAACAATAATAATATTGAACAATACAATCAAAAACAGTTTCAGGGCTCTGGAAGTTAACCACAGTCATACGGAAAATTGAGAAATGATTATTCATAAAGAACTACTAAGTTCAGGTCAAGAACAGGGGAGTGTATAGCATTCGTACCTAGGGTTGCTTTTATGTATGCCTAACCTGTTTGGGCTGCAAAGTTGTTCCATTTGAGGAAGAGCGTAAGTTTAAAACTCAGCAGCTCCACTGCTAGACAGGAGTGACGTGATCTGGCGTGCAGCATGGAAAAAACTCCTAGCAATGCTGTCAGTTATCACTAGCAACCTCAGAGACAAGTGGACAGGGAAGCAGAGCAATTCAGCTAGCCTGAGGTGATGATCCTAGTTGGAACAAGCAAAGGACTGACACGCTAGACAGACATTCAACAGGAACATCTAGAAAATGAGGCAACTCCAGGACGCTGTGGTACTCGATCCATGCGTGCACACAGGAGAGCCTAAGGAGGATCCAAATGATCCCCACCACCCAGCCAACTGTGAGCTGCACATAAGCACACAGAGGACCTGAGAAGGCCCAGTGGAAAGTCAAAGTTCAGGAATGTTTCAATGCTGTCTGCACTTGAAGCATTCTCCCAATCTGTCAGGAATAGTTACTGGCTTGATACATCCAAGCACAACGTGTGTCAAATCCTTGGCTGATCACTGAGCTATGCAGACACTGGAATCATTACTAGAAATGCAGATGAGCTTAGGGACCAAAGACAATCAACCAGACAGAACCCATGACTTATACAGTCATTGTTAAGTTACACAATCCCTCTCCTTGTCTTGGAAACCTCAGTAATAAAAACTAGAACTATTACCTCACAGGATTTTATGGTGCTTAAATAGAAGAACAACAAATTATGGTAATAGCTACCATTTTCATTTTAAGTATTATACAAAGCCAGGTAATACTTTAAAACACAAGAATGCATGATCTTGCCTCTATATGCATCCGATCCATTGAGTAAGTCAGCCCTGCTGATTCCAACAAGTCTTTACAAAGTAACATTAACTTCAATAATTAAGAGAAAATGGCATATTTCATAAAATTCAAAAACTATGAATCATGAGATACATTATTTTTGTATAACTGAAAATAAAGAATTGACTTAATGATGTATGCAGAACTCAGAGATATTAAAAAATGAAAAAACTCAGACACCTTAATCAATGAAATACAAAAGTCAAGCATCTTGTCTAATGTCTGCTAGTCAAAATAGTACCAGATTAAAGCCAGGTCTCTAGAATTTTTCTTGTATTCTTTTTGGTTGTTTTGGGTTCATTTCGCTTTCTTTCTACTCTCTAGAGAAGTAAAAATTGAGAACAACAGACCTTAACAAAACGCCAACAATTTCCTTATTTCAGATTCCAGCCAGAAGCAGAAAGAGAAGTGAGCACTCTGCTCTCCACTTGTGTCCTACTTGCTGCTCCATCACCACTCAACAGCTGATAGGGCAGACACAGGTAAGTCATTCAAGTTACTTCAAGACTGAAGCATTCATTCCAGGTTAGTCAGGAAGGAACGGGTCTTTATCAGTTTGCCCAGTGGGTCTGTCACCTTCAACTAAACCTACTCCTCACATGATTAACAGCAATCATATGACAGCCTCATACACAGCTTTTCTTTAGCAGGGACTACTACAGTATGAAGGAGGAAGCTACACAAAAACAGGGTGTCTTCCAGTTTGTACATCCCCAAAACGTTAGAACTAATAGGGATTTCTGAACTTGTCTAATCCAACTGAAGCTTAAAAATGAGGAAGCTGAGGTCGGTGACTAGGATGTTTCCCTGCACTCCCCCTACCCGCTTGTCTCCTGGTGACCATTTGTCTGACCACCTGGTTTCAGTTCGAATTTCACTTCCTCAGATCACTCCTGAGCTACCAGAGTCCAACACTGAACCAAACTTGTGTAAAAATGGGTCGGCCCTACCAAGTGGATGATATAATACACTAGATACAGAGTAAACATCCAGATATTTGCTGAATATCCTACTCCCTATACTCCAATGAAAGAAGAGCTAATCATTTTGAGGTCAAAAATAACTAAATTTAAGGGCAAAATCAGAAAGCATGGCCTAAGAGTCCTTCAGAAAAAGGTGATCTACTCTCTCATGTAATCTGAATTATGCTTTATAAGCAGAGAATGAAAAGCGTTTCACTCATTTTTACTACGTAACTATATATTCTTATTTAATCTTCAAAAAATTTGACTCCTTTGACATAGACCACAGTATGTTAACTTTTCAAAGGAGAAACTGATGCCAGGAACCATAAAGTAACTTGTCTACAGTCATCCAGTTGGTTGGATCTGAAACCAGAAGAGGAAGTCTAAATTCGACTCAAAGACAGGAAATTAGTAGGTAACTTTCATATCTGAAGTGGGCCATGTGGCTGGGGACCATTCAGCAAAGAGCAACTGGGCTTAATATCCCAAGTATCCCCTGAAGAGACCATTCTAGTCCAATAATTATGTCCTTATGATAACTAAGTCCTTAAAAAGGTTAAATAATTTCTCCTTACGTAAAAACTGGGAGAGGGGAAAACCAAAAACAGATGCTGTGCCTATCAAAAGCACAAATGATAAAAACTTTATTTAACTGGAAGTCAACAGACCACTGTCTCCATGAAGCCTAGAATAGTCAAAAAACAGACAACAAAAAATGGGCTTGAGTTAGACCTAGCATAACTTATTTTTTTTATCTGAAATATACTGGTCTATTCTTAGTTGGTAGTAACAGGAATTTTTTCCAGAATAAGCAGCTCATTAAAAAAATAAATAAATCTAAATAGCCAATAAACACAGAAAAGCCCCCAGCTATAACAGTCTATGAGGAAACATAAATTAAAAATCACAATATGCCACAATATGCTGCCAGAATGACTAAAGTTTAATTCCAAATTTGGGCAAGGAAATGGGATAGCTAACAACCTCACCCTGCTAATAGGGATGTAACTGGTACACACTCTTTGGGAAACTATTTGACAACATATACTAATATGGAACATAACTTACAACCAAGCAACTCCACACCAAAGGATGTGGATGTGGAAAATGCAGCATTCAAATGTCTAGCAAAGGATACATTCAACAGAATTAATGAATTATTACATGCAACAGCAGAAAAACCTTCCCAAACATTAAGTTGAGAAAAAGATTACCTGCTATACAGAAGCTACAAATCTGGCAGAACTGACCTACACTGACAGAGGTCAGGCAAGCAGTTCTCTTCCAGTGGAGACCGAGACAAAACACATTGATCATGTTCCATTTCTTGATCTGGTTATATTGATCTGTTCCCTTTGAAATATCATCAGACTGTCATTTATACATGCAAGTTACATCTCAATGAAAATTAGTGAAAAAAATTGTTAAAGACCCAATAATAAGGAACATTTGGAGATGGCCTAAGAGATAAATTAAATGAAATGATCTCTTTCTCATGTAATTTCAGGTCCTAAAGTGTTAAGGGCAGGGAGCTGGAAGACTTTCCAGGTCTTCAAATTGTGCTGAGAAGGTAGTCATTTACTTCCTTGTATGTAGGATCATCTCTGAATAAAATATGTGTTCTCTAAAAAATGAATAGTATAATTTCAAATTTCACTATCAGTGTAATGATACACCATAAAAAGGATGAAAAAATGACCCCATCCAAAGGAAAGAAAGGAAAGGCTTGGTGACTGTATCTGAAGGGCTACATTGTATGGCAGAGACACAGATGCTTTAGCAGGTGCTTATTAAATTTTCTGAAGCACTTCAGAGGAATCTTGGAAGTTATTTCACGTGGCTGGACAACATAGGTTGCCTTTATCAGTCAATACATCTCCACAGCAGAGCTTTTGTCAGTCTTCTCTGTACAAAGACTTTCCTTCATACTTTTACAGAATAGCTGCCAGACAATGAGCAGTAATTCTTAAGTTGACACACTCAGACACAGGCAGACACAGCCTGCCACACATTCAAAGACCATTGTTAAATATTTTAACTGTACAGACTCAAATGACTTCTACTTTTATTTAACCTCCACATTCCACATCATGTCTAGATAGAGCAAAATATTCAAGAACTAGAATCTTCTACTGACTGGCTAACATATCCACTGAAAGCACAGGAGCAAAATATCAGGGTATTTATAGTTTTGGAAAGTTCATTGCTGATTAACTGCCCACAAAAGAATCTAGAATCATTACTACCATTGCTTATTACTGTGACACTATTTGATAACAAAATGTATGTTTACAAGAAGCATAATCAAGAATTCATAGCTTTCCAACTTTCGTAAAACATAAGATACCTCACTGAACTTGCATACTGGTCTTATAATCAGTAACAGCCCAATGAACTCCTTCCTTCACCTCATTACCACTGGTCAGACCTCACATCTCAATTTCAGAATTACTTGCCAATAGAAATTTTTCCTAACTCTTCTTTCCAAACTGATATAAGTAACACTCTTACTTTCAAAGAATCCTATTCTTTCCTGTCACTATAACAGTCTGCCTGTGTTGATTCTCTCACACTCCCTGCAAATCAGGTAGTTAAACAAACTAAAGGTGAAAAACCTTGAAGATGATGCAAGTATATAACTGGACATAAAACACACATGCTCACACACATATACAGAGAAAGAGAGGTTAACCATTAATTCATTTGTTCACAATTCAACTGAACCATAAACTTGGTTGAAAAGTAACTCAAGCCAATATTTAAAAATATGTGTGCAGTTCAGTTTGTTCCTCACAGATTAAAACAACTTAGTCACAATTCCAACAGAAGTTTATGGGTCTGACACATTATGCCACGTTTCCTAAAAGCCCATGCCCTAGGAACAGGAATTCGGAGCAGAGATTAAGAGGAAACTTGAGAAGCCTGTCACTCCTATCAGAGTTTCTGGGTTCCAAGTCCAACTCCAGCTTCCTGCTAATGTTCACTCTGGGGAGCAGGAGGTGAGGACTCAAGCACTTAGATCCCAACCACTCAGATGGATGAGCTGGACTGAACTCCAAGCTCCTGGGTTCAGCCTGTCCCAGCCCCGGCAGTTACAGCCATTGGGGAGTGAACCAATGGATGGAAGACATCTCTCTCCCCACGTCTCCCTATCTTTCAGATAAATAAAACTTAAAAAAGAAAAGCTGTTAAATACATGCGCCAGGACTTTGTTTATTCCACAGATTTGATCTCTGACAGATCTCAACAGATATTTGCCTAACTGAAGGATATGTAACACAAGGGAGGCTGTGGCAAAGCAGAGTTCTTGAACACCAGTTTTACCAGTCATTATTTGTATAGAAGTTCCTGAGCCTGTCTGAACCTCTTTCTTTCACTATAAAATAGACATAACTCTTACCTTGTAATGTTTCTAGGTGAGAAATAATATACAAAAGATATTCCATAAATTCATGTAAAATGTACAATGAAAAAACATGCCTAGAGTTAAAAAAAATATTTTGCACTAAAATAAACTTACATTTTAATTCCATTTGCTCAGAACCTTCTGAAGCACCTTCATATACAACACCTCCAACATGCTACTTAAATCATAGCTAGGTACTTAAGACACAATAATACTCCTTTCTTTAAGATTTATTTATTTAGGGCCAGGTGAAATGGCTCAGTTGGCTAATCCTCCCTTTGCAAGCACTGGGATCCCATATCAGCACCAGTCTGTGTCCCACCTGCTCCACTTGTTGCCTGGGAAAGCAGTGGAAGATGACCTAAAAGTGTGGGAACCTGTGTTCA